TCAATAATTTTCCGTTTATGCTGTGTTGCTGTACAATTTATCATGTAAATTTGAACATATTGCAATTGCTATCAATCTGACAATGATGCTTCTGAGTTGCGTAAGTTTGAAATGGAGATGTTATTAGAAAAACAGACGCTTTAATTGTATCTGAAATGTTTGTTCACAGTCTTGTCTAATACATGTAAATCGCATGCTTTCATCTAAGCTGTTTGTAACATTAGAAATAGCCTTTGAATGAGAGGTTTTTAAATTCATTTGTGAGTGCAATCCTTAACTCGGGGATCTGTGTGTATTTTAAGTAATCGTATATTTTTTTAACTCTTCTTCTTTATTAAGTATTAGCTTCAGGTGACATAGCGAGCATCTTTTAAACATAAACTCAACTTGATTGTTAGCAAAATATGAGTTTCCCAAGGAATAAATCCTTATGCATTGTATTTAAGCAGCAAATAATGGTACATATTATTGGACCTTTGAGAATATTTTGGTCATTTCACATTAGAATCTGGTGGAACGTTGATAAATCTCGATTAAAGAAGTAATTAAATTTTAATCTAAATCAAATGAGCCGTTCAGTTTGAATACCATCCTTGTAATATTCATTTTTATGTGCGTGCATTTATCTGTGCAATTTATTTAGACTTATCCACTTTATGCTATTGTTAAGAATTCAAAATGCTATATTTCAAAGATATTTAATTTTGAGCCGTCAAGAAATACATGCTCTCCGTAAAAATAATCGCTCTTATGATGCATATGAGTGTAGCATTCTGGTTTGCTTCTAAAGATGTTTGTTGAACATATTTAAGGTTTCAACAAACTCGCATAGTGGTTCTATCAACATTTTCAAACTTAAGATTAAAATCTTATATGTAATTCTCAGATCATTGTTTTCTCTCGCCTTAAAACAAATAAATGGTATAATGAAACGAATAACTGATGATAATTTTGCCTCGGGAAATCTGATTTCTAATGATTCCCCAAAATCATCCGAAAATGGTTTGAAAAGAATAACCCTTTTTTTGCTAATAAATCAACTTACGTTATGTTTGACCGAAACTAACTTTAGATTTGAGTGAACTGGAATACGATAACATTGGTGATTACTTATGCGTGAAAAAGAGGGAAAAACTAGAATACATCAACAATGACTCTTCAGCTCACTGAAACGTGAAAAAGAATGTTTTTCCTTCTATCATTTGTTAGTGACACTCTTTATCAATCTACAAGTGTTAGTATGAACAAAAATAGTTTCCAGGATCTTTTCTGTCAGTAAAACATCTTTTTTAGCATTTCTAGTTTGAAGTTCCACTCACTTCAGGAGATTTTAAAGAGATAAAAATTATTATTGTAGTAGTTTTGTCTATCCATTTATTATGTACCTGTAATTGAATACCTGTGTTGTTTAATAAGAAGAAAAAGAAGCTAATGTAAAATTGAAAATTAGATAAAAAAAGCGGCCTTAGTTTAGCATAGATTTTGAATTAAAACTTTTATCGATTTCAAGCGGGATCAAATACAGGCCCCTTTTCTTTAAGAGCAAAAAATGTTTTTCTCCTGCATTGTTTTCATTTCTGAGAGGTCCTTAAATTATTTTAGAGTACTGAATATTTGCTTGTAACTTTAACTCAATTATATCGAATGTTGATTAAGCTCTTATGGCTTATGTTCAGTATCATTTATTTGCGATTTTTGTCTAAAAATAGATTTAAGTGCGTTAAGAGGTATTCAGAAATTATTTGCTTTATTTCTGTTTGCAGAAATGAAATTACGTTCATATCTAATTCTATTTTTGAACGCTAGGGTTGGTCAGAGAGAGAATATTGCATAGAATGGATTTCAAACCTTTCTGAATATTAACGACTTCAAAGAGCTACTAGAGGTGAATGTATTAGCACAAAGCGTTAATCACATATTATCAAGTGGAGTACATTAATGTTAACAACTATGGCATTAGAACTCTCATATTAGTCGAGCTAGATGTTTTTCGAAGTTATGCTCCTGTCCATTGTTCCAAATATCTGGTGTGAGTTCTCGATTGCGTAGCTTTAGAACAATTAATAGTGCGTCTTATTAAACGGAATTAAGTGAAATAGTAGAGGACATAAATACTGTAACTTTGTAAATGTTTTCCATTATTCTTTGCATTCCTTGTGGATGTATAAATTGATGTGTAATTGCTTATAAAAAAGCACTTGAGAGATATCTGCTTTTGATGGAAGCTCATGATTCTGGAGTCCTTTTTAAAGAAAAACTATCATTTTACATTATACACGGAGAAGATGTAAAACACTGAAGACAAAAATCATTACACTCCCGAAAACAGGTCCGTAAACTGCAGAAATTGCGAAAAATGTGATGAATTCATTTATCATATATATCACTATATGTAATATATGAATCACTCTCTTTTACCTATATTTAAATTTTCGTTAAAATAAATGAAAAGTTTCTAAATGTTCAGAATATTTACCTGTTTACTTCACGATCTCATAGGAATCTCTGCTTAAACCTCTTCGCAGGTATTCAGATTTCCATATTTCATTATGACCATTAATAAGCTGGGAGGCGATAAAATAATAGTTTAGTCAAGTTTTATGCGGAAAAAAATTAACTTAAATCAGTCGTTTAATGGCTAACCATGGAGGGCCATTTTAGCATATGTGTTGGTGCCATGGACCGTAAAGCGTTTCGTACAGTAAATTTGAGAATAGGTCCTCAAATAACAAACTTGATTATATCAGTATAGTTGTAAGAGTAACTTGGATTATTTCAAGATAGTATTTTAAATTATAACTTTGATAACAGCATTCTGGAAAAATGCCTAGTCTGTAAGTATATGTAAGATTAAAATGCTATTTTAAATACATTTTAAAAATATTTGTGACCTTAATTTTAAGGCTTAAAAAGTACTAAGTGAATTAGAATTCTGTATATGCCCATCAGAATAGCTCACCATATTCGAATAGGACAAACTCATCAAAAACAAATTTTTGTGATATTAGCGTCATTTTCAGTAAGTCTTAGAGATGGTCAAGAGTATGAAACTAAATAAATAGGAGGAAGCCTGCAGTTAATAATAATAATAACAATTTTGATAACCTTTTGGCAATTTCCAGAAAAAGGATATTTTAAGACCTCATATTGACGGCCTGCTAGTTGAAAATTGCTGCTTTAAGACATCTATTTGAATAGAACAAGTTCCATACTACTGTACATGATATAAATAATCTTTTCCGTTTTTTTTTTTTTTTTTTTTTTTTTTTTTTTTTTTTTTTTTTTTGTTTTGCATTTTCCTCTTAAATATACAACCACATTTCATAAAGGTAACAGAAATCAGTGCTATCAAAATAATCGAATTTTTCAATAAATAACTTCACGTTTGTGTTATATATTCTAGAACACATTTATGGTCACCACTATACAATTTCTACCTACCTACGCTATCAGAATTTAAGAAAATGATTGGAAACTTCAGTTTGCATCGAAATCTTGCTTATAAACTTGAAAATATGGTACAAAAATAAGTAAAGATGGGTGAAAGTATTAAGAGTGTGTGCTGTTTTAACGAGAGATAGTTTTTTTCTAGACCTTTCCAGATTTATTCTAATATTTCTGAGTCAAACTTTCTCGCTTGATGTACCGGATACAGCTCGTCAAATGAAAGATAGCTCAGTTTTTATAGTTAAGAAGAGAGCAGAATTATTAACAAATCCTCTTTGATTATCATACTTTTTAATGAAGAAAAACGCTTATGTTCTTGATGCGCATTTTTGAAAACAAATTATTTTAATATTAATACAATATGTGAACGCATGTTTTGCATTTCAAATTTTCAAGATCAGCTTAGAATTTAATTTATTACTAAAATCAGCATTGCAGATCTTCAAGATTCTAGACACTATATTTTTTGTATAACATAGAATCAATCAATCATTACTTACGCTACAAGTTTGCTCTTGTGTGACGTTACTGACTCCTAGTCTGTTCAAAAGTAACTAATGCGTGTATGACTTCTTTTTACCACTTCTGTAAGTGACGTCAGCGTTGTTTCTTGTTTGTGCATTGAGCTTGCATAAAATTGTAGTGAATGACAGTGCATGCAGCATCTAAAGTTGATCTTGTAGATTAGACGATGTTCGTATTATTCAATAAACGGTTTTTTCCTGCTTTAAGTCTCTTCAAACAATTTATAATTTGATTTCTCTTTAATCAATTGTTAATTGTATATATGAACTTCAGTTAAGTACACTGGCAAGGTTTTATATTCTGTGATGGAACTTGCTAGTATAATCTCAAAAAACTATATTATACTTTAAAACATCGGAATTGTAATAATACTTCTATGTAACAGTTAAGATAAATTTTTTGCTTTCAGGCCTATGAAATCATGTAGACTCATGAATAAGAAACTCTCCGAAGTATATTTTCACCACGTGATATGAAATATGCATTTACTAAGTTGGCAGAAATGGAATCAAGCATACGAATAAATTTTCAGTTCTTCATTATGAATTAATTTCAGGCAATGTGAGAGTATGCGCATGGTATAATGTATGCAGCATTTCGCTATAATATTTAACATTTTGAAACATGACTCTACTCTGCAATTCCTTTAAAAAATTTCACGCAGTTTGAAAATTGTTATGTTGTTAAGTAATTGCAAGGAATATGATTTTGCCATGGTGTCTTTATTTCTGAAAATAATTTTGCACTCATTTTTATTTCAGTTTGATTATCCTTTAATTATACAATAGAGATTTTGCCTAAAAACTAGATCTTTAATTTTGAAGGTGTTAATTCTTGCGTAAACGAACTATTTATTTTTTTGGCGGGAAGGGTGGTTGTTGTCTGTGAGAAAGTTTAAATAGTTCATCAGTTAAGCTTCTCGTTCATCTTTTTCTGACGCTACTTTTTTGAAAGCAATTTACTTTGAGCACATATAGTACTGGAACACAATTTATTTTTCCAGGCATTTTCAAAATGAAGTGAGCTGCCAAAATTTTGATCTGACTGAAATGCAAGGCCGCGATTGAAAACCTGCAACCTTTAAAAACAGAATCCACAAACTTCTACGGTGGCCGCATGCATGAAGAAAAAAGTAAGCCCTAGTGTGGAAGAAACTCGATTTTTTTATGATTAAAGTTTAAAGTGATTTATTCATATGTGTATACTGAAGTTTTAAAATTTTCTACTTCTGAGCACAGAAATACTGACAAATTTTGAACTTTACTGGATCAAAATAAGTGCTGGCTGGACTCAAGTTTTAATTATATTGCAGAATATTTACGTTCGCTAACTGGCAGTTTTTTTATTCTCGCATTATGTACTGAAATCCTGTCATAGAAAATACATGAAATTTTTATTATTATTTAGTTATTATTATTAATATTACTACCTAATTTAGCTGAAGACGGTATCCTTACTTCGGATGAGAACATAAAATGCAAGACGAGAGTATATTAGAGAGTTTTCAATGTTTTGTTAACAACGCTTTATTTTGCGTAGGTGAAAGACAGCTTTTCAAAGAAATTCTAACATGTGTTTGTCCTTTCATTATCCCAACCAGTGAGCGAATGGTAAATACCGCTAGATACTGGTAGTTCGCGAACGGGCTGGCCGCATGATTGGTTTTTCTCCCATATGTAACTTGAGTAGAAGCCAGTTTCTCTTAGAACGTCCTGTATCAAGACAGTCGTCCCCTTAAGTAGATAGTTCTCGTGTTCTTTTCCATATTTAAGCAACCTAATCTAACCTTCGTTATACGTTATTTTGCATGCTATATTTATTTGAATACTTTGTTCTACGTCTGCACTAGTTGCTTATTACATATTCTTGTCTTTGCGTAACCTTTCTTTCTGTACTTCCGTGTGTATCGGTAGTCATATTTATGTTTCAGTGATAAGGTGAAGTATTTTATCAAATGCTAACATTTTACAGTAATAAATTTTTGATTGCTTTTCACTGAACTCATAATAATATTTTTCTGTCAGTATTTGATTTCCTTTTGTTTAATTTTTCATTTTTTTTTTTTTTTTTTTTTTTTTTTTTTTTTTTTTTTTTTGCCGAGTTGCTGAACAGTTTTAAAAAGGTTAAAATAACAGCCTTTTTTCCCATTTTTTCCAATTTTTCGTTTACAGTAACATTTCATTCTCAATCTGTCATTTCCAGTAACCATTTTGAACAATCTCCAGTCTTTCATTTTCAGTAACTGTTACTTTTACGGCGCGTGAAAACGTGGTTTGTTTGCATCGCTTTCATAAATGAAAAGAACGTGTTTGAAAGCTATCCGCTTAAACAAGTTTTTCATAAAAACTTTGTGTTTGTCACTACACTGGCTAGACTCCAACTATTTCAGGCAGGTTATCTCCATCACAGAACTTAACCCAGATTTACTGAATAAACACGCAGCAAAATGTGAAAATTAACTTAAAACTTTATTCCCATACCGCTTGATAGTTTAATGTAGTGCGACCAGAAGTTTAAATCTGTTTGCCTGAAGCAGCTAGTTGGAACTTTTCATAACAGATTAACTGTCTACAACTCCAGTTATTCTAATCGAAGTTACAACGCCAACTGAGTCGTATAGTAAAACTCAACTGAAGTCGAACAATTACCAAACCTTGCCAAATGTCTGGCTTCTCGTATGTTCTGATCAGCAGCTTTTCTGTCTATTAAGTATTATTACTGGAAACGGCAACAGCAGTTACGTGTGTACTAGAAATGGTGCCGATTAAATTCTTCTCAATTTAAACTACGCCGTTTGCCCTAAAATCTGCATAACCCTCTAGACTGAGCGAGTCTGGGACGAAACAGCGAGCGAGTCTGCGTAAAATAAAGTATCACTAGAGGACGTATCCTGGCTATTACCATTTGACAAAAGATGTGAAGCTCGGCAGAGTTTTAGTACCACTAGACCTTTGTGGGGATTTCTTAAATTTACCTGACAGTTAATTTTATTTTGAAGCAACCTTTCATATCGTTTTGCTTTCAACTCACGCTTTTTTGCCAGAATGTAAATGTTAGCGCATGTATTCAAATGAGGTAGAAAGAAGAGATTAGCGATTAGATTTCTATGGCGATGAGCACTTCTTTCCATTAGGTTTGTTTATTCTGACTTTCCAGAGCCAAGCTACGCGTAAGGTTTACCTGTAAAGCCATTAGGCTAAACTGAACTCTATTTAATTTTAAGTTACTTCGTTACCTTTTTGGAGTTACGCCAAAAGTGTTAGTTTTTGTAAGCAGGAATCGGTGCCATCTGTAAACTTTAATTTGAGTTAATAAAGCGTTCTTATACCCATCTCCGCACTTTGTGTTGCCTTAAGACTTAAGGATAATTCCTTAAATACTGTTTTAACGTCTAGCTTATTTTATGCTACCAAAGTATATGAGGCGTTATAATTTCTTGTTTGATAAGTATTATTTGTGATTATTCCGAATTATGTATAAAAATTTTCATTTATTGAAAAATATTTTTATAAACTTGAGATGTTTCAAAGCTTTAAAATTTTAAGGTATGTCGATAATTTAGGCCACCACTTCAGTCAATTCTCAGCTTCTCAGCTTTCAGTCAAGCTTTTGTATGATGAAAAGACATTCACGCTAATTTCATGATTTGTATCTGGCTAATTTCGGATATCGTGTTTCCATCTTTCGTGGTGAAAGAAAAGTTGTAGAAGTCGAGCGCATTCAAGTGTCGGAAATAAGTTTAAGTGTTCGACAAACATCACGCTTGGCGCGATACAAACTGAATTAGAAGTGGGCCTTATTAAGAAAAATATGCATTATTCAGTTTTATTTTATATGAATAAGTAGATATTCTTATATGTATTCTTGCAACTGTAACTACTTACCTAATGTTACATATTAAATAACTATTTTATTAATACTAGTTCACTTTGTGTCCCTTATATTTATAGTGCGGTTAAGCCGCAAAAAATCGACATGGTTTTTGTTGTATTTATAGAAATTAGCAATAAGTTAATTATAAAATAAGAGTTGCTTTTGTATAGCTAATCATTTAGTAGTTGGCTTATTGTAACAATATTTGGACGTGCCGTTTTTGGCCTTTACTGCCTGCACTTCAGTTTGCATCTTAATATGTTATGGCAAAATACGAAAAGGCAATCTACCTAAAGGATGGAATGCCTAACTAGAAGATTTCCTGCGGCAAACTGTCTCCTATTCTTGTTACATATGTCGACAAACAGGGTATCATAATCCTGGTCGAACTATCAGTCTTCAGCTGTCTTATCCATTTGGCAACTGGTGAGCCTTTCAGTTGAGAGCTTTTTTCGTTGACAATATTTGATTTGTGAATGGAGCTAGTCAACGTTAACTACACTCTCTGATTAAGGATGTTATTGAAAATGTAAGAAGATAATTGCAAGTTTTTCGGTATTTTGCTATATCTATTTCCTTTCAGTTCTATATGTTAATTAAAAATAATAGAAAAAAATTAAGCACAGTTAAAGAAAAAAAAAAATCTAAATTAAATAAAAGCAAGATAGATTTAATCAATCTGAATAAGATATAAAACTTTAGAAACATATGTAAAATCCTGAATTAGTTTGTTCGATTTATTTTTTGGACGTTTCGTTTTATTGAGGCAGCAATTTTTCCTAGAATTTGCATTTTGATTCTGATGAGCCCGAAACTTTGAGGCATATGACATGTAATCATTTCAAGAAACCTACCAACAGTTTCCCTTGCAGTATTTTAAAGTTTTGCTTAATGCACGCAAGAATTATGATCAGCACATACACGATGACACTAAATGCTATAAATTTTAAGTTAAGTGGCCCAGGTTTCCGCGAAACAGTCTTTCATCAAAGGTGCAAGACAAGATAAAAATCGATTTGGGCAGTGATAGGAAAATTTGACTTAACAATAGCTTCTTGTTAAATACTTTATTTTGATTTCTAAATAATATAACCACTTGTAAGTAAGTTATGTGTTTAATGCTTTATTATGCTATTTTTATATGATCCTTTGCAATCGCATTTTTTACATGTGATAATGCAGATATTATTCTGATTTTCTTCAAACTCTCTATCATACAGAATCGAGAAGGTAGCAAATAAACTACACTTGGATCTCATCAAATTTTTATTCTTTCCTCCCCTGCTGCTGCTTGAAAAAAAATTGCTTTTAAAATATGTTATTAAAATTGCCAGTTTCATATGTTTTTCATCTTTTATCACATTTTCCTTTCCTTTGCGCAGTTATTAAATAAATCTTCGATAATAATCATGTTAAGTGTAACCTTAAAATAGTATAGGGTGCGGTAGCGTTCATAGTAGGATATTAAAAATACACCATAAGGCAGTAACTGTAATTTATTTATTACCTCTTATGTCAATTAATAGTTAAGGGCATGCCATTTGCTAATGTGTAAGTCATTGTCCATTGCGTGGATTACTTTTTTCAAATGATGCCCCCTCTGCACAACACATTCATCTAGGCGGCGTTGGAAGCTTGCCATAACTCGGCGTAACGTATTCCCTGGGACATTGCCGACGGCAGTTCGGATGCGATCCTTCAACTCAGGAATGGTGGCAACAACGTGTTCGGAAAACTTCTTACTTCAGGTGCCGCCAAAGTCTGCACATGAAAGATCAGGTGAGCGAGGCGGCTAGGAAATGTCACCAAAACGGGAAATTTACTCTACCTGGAAATGTCTGTCGCAATGGTCCGTCCATCCAGAACTTTCCCATAACGTCCCAAGTTGAAATGTTGCCGAAATAGACGCTGGGTAGCAATTACAGAGTAGTTATTCTTGAAATAACTTTCAACAGCAAAGGCACGATGCTGTGCACTCCACCGATCTATATCACTATCACACTCGAAATGGCAGCTTATTAGTACACGAAAAAGCGGCACGAGCTGGCGCGCATTAATGCAGTACGTCATTGTGCTACGCAAGTTAAATTACGCTATGAATGCTTCCGCACCCTGTACTTAAAGAAATGCAGTAGGTTAGAACTAAAGTATGCTTATCAAAACTAAAGTACAGTGGGTAGAAAAAGTATTTGCACACTTACGTTTTTGTTTGCAATTCTCAAAAAGAAGCATTAAGAAATAAAAAAAATTGGTATTGCC